TCAATTCCATTAAACAAGGCATTTAAGGCTTTGGAATTACCCAGGGCTAACTCATCTTCTTCTTTGCTCCATTCTTCCTCAGGCTTCAGACTGATTGTCCCATCTTTCTCAGTTATGGTGGGATGGTTCCATCCTTTGTCAGCAACTCTCCAAGCCTTTTTGTCCAGTGATTTTAAGAAGTCAATCATACGAGGTTTCCAGTAGTCATAATTTGTTCCATCCAGAATGGGTGGTCTGTTTCCAAAAACTCCTTCTTTGTCCATAGTGCCAGAAAGTGATATCCCTAGATCTCACCCAGTAATACAGGCAGGGTGTCTGCTCTGATACCAATTGAAATTCTGACAGCAGATACTCAATGTCACAGTGAATGTTATGACACCGTATCTGACTTTCTATAAGACAGTAAATAAAAACAGTAAAGAACACAGTCAATTGTTTACCCAGTTCAGTGTGAAACAACACCTACTATGGGGGCTACCAAGCCAGGGAGGAAATCCACTATAAGAGATATTAATTCAGGAATAAACCAACCAGTTTATCTCCTTCACTTAAGACCTACCCAATGCAACTTCAATCTAAGTTCAACTTAAACCTGAGTTCCTACTCACTCCCCCTCAATCACAGCAGTGATACTTAAACAATTTACTAATGAAATAATGAAGACACTCTTCAGAACATACACTTGATTATGCTTCACAGCTTTTTAATCAAGTAACATAAACACTCGTGCTTCACAGCTTTGAGTGATACATAAACCTAACTTGACTTTGCTTCAAAGCTTTAGTCAAGAGACACAAACACTCTTGCTTCAAAGCTTTGAGTGATACAAAAACCCTTACAATCAAAACCTATTCCAAGTCACTTATCACAAATGATACTTGCTTGGATTACAGCAGTTAAAACTATACAACTCCTAATTGATCTTCTGTCAAAGAGTTGCTTTCCAATCAGCATTCCTGTTGAATATATATGCAACTGTTTCTTCAGTTAGGGCTTCCACGAAAAGCTAGGGTTAATTAGGGTTAACCTCAAGACTAGGTCATAAGACTTTATCAACCAGATTAGGGTTGAGCTAGGTTAACCCAAAGTCCACGTGAGATTCTGTTCTGGAAAGAATGAACCAACTTCCTGAAAAATCTCAGAATTAACCAAACTGCATAACTGTTAGATCAGTACAGGATGTCTTAACATTTGTTATGACATCAGAATTCCTGTTTACTGATTTTGGTAGAAGGCAATAAATGTGATCATTGCAAAATGCTCAGATACACACTCATAAACAGTAGCTACTGTATGCCATACTTTTTCTGCATAAAGCACCTAATAATCCAGAATGTTATGACATCAGTCATGACATTCACACACCTGGTTTTACCAAAAATACATGCCAATAACTAAACACTTACAATTTTAATGAAGTTAGACCTAATTTATGATCCAAATTGAATTTTCACTTTTGTCTTGCTTACTTTATCTCATCTTCATCTCTTTCTTCTTCTTTTTTCTTTTTGGATCAATTGGATGATTGATGATTCATCTTGTTCAATTGAATGTGGATTGGTACTTGATAAAATTTCATCATTTCAAATCTACCTCTAAGTGATTAATTGATCACTCAAGGTACTTTTAGATTAGTGAAAGTTTATCCTAAGGTATCATGAAGGATTTGATTGATGTAATGATCTCATTTCTTTGACTTATGTCTTGATCACACTTTTGTTTTTACTGTGTTACATATTTTAGGAGTATGATTTCTACCATATCTCTAACATGTATGATACATACATTATTATTGACTGGCCTCGTATAGTATTGACTACTATATAAGTTCATCTGTAATTGCTTAACATAGCACTAAATTTGTCCTGAATCAGAAAACTATCATACTAACTCTAACATTTATTGTACTAACTTTTACTTTAATGGAATTTAAATTTTTCGCAATTTACTTTATGTCATTTAATTTTAGTACATTTATCATTCATGTTATTTATCTTTTTGCTTTTTATTTTATGTCATTTTTCCTTTGTCCACTTGGACATTTGTTTATGTTTATGCATATTTTTCCTTTGTCCACTTGAACTTTAATTTTTGTTCTTAAATCATTAATAATCAACTTGAACATTAAAACACTTAAGGCTCTTTATGAACTATGGTTACTATCCCTAGGCATATTGAAGTATTTGGACCTTTGGACTTAGGATAGGACCTTGTTACTTTGAGACCTTTGAACTTGAGACCTCGTTGCTATTTTGTCTGTGTATTAGGAAAATTTATGTGTTACTTTAAATTTCATCTGATGCAAGAATAATTCATCTGATACATGACAATTTATTTGTGCCTTATTAGATTCATCTGATGTAAGCTTTCACCTGAGGCACTTATAATTCATCTGGTGCTTATTTCTTTATTGTGTGGCTTTAATCCAAAAGATGGGAATACTATATTGACTTCATTATGTCAAGTGTTGGATTCTCATTTGATTAGATCTTTCCTACCTTAACTTTTACATTATGCTTTAGGATAGTCCCTTCATCTCTTGTCCATCTTCTTTAATTTCAAAATCGTATCCCTCCTTTTCAAAACTCTTCTTGTTTTCAAACTTGAATGCTTTCATAACAAACTTGGACTTAGGTCCATGCATTTTCAAAAAAAAAAATATTAATCAAAATTTAATTCATTTAACCAAAGTCTAACTCTTTTCTTCAAAGACTAAAAAATACAAAACATCACTTCAAATCTTTTTCCGTTTAGCTTTTTTATTTTAAAATATTTTCTTAAAAATATTAGATATGAGTCATCTCTATGGTTGAGATGTAATTTTCCATGATTCATAACCTTGATTGATATGATGTTGAATCTTTTCCACTAGAAGGGGTTAGTGGCATGCATGTTGAGTTATCCAGGTTGGAGCCCTCCTTTCACTTGTGATGCAAAGGTCCATCATTCTCATGTTTATGCGTATGTGGTTAAGTATTCTCCCTAAGAAGACAAAATATCTCTTCTCTTAAAATCAACCAACCAACAACTTTGTTCTTTTTAGAAGAACTACAAGATTATGATTTCATCATTGTACATTGATGGTACGTAGGCACAAAGCTCATTGTAATTTCACTGAATCAAAATTGTAAAAACCATTTCTTTTCTCATCTCCAAAATCTTTTTGCATACAACTCTCTTTTAGTCAAATACGTATATTTTCAAAGAGGTTCTTGTGGAGTACCGTAGATGTTTAGGGTGCTAATATATTTCCTTTACATAACCAACTCCCTTATCTAGATCTTTGTTTTTATTAATTTTTTGTGTTAAAAACTTCTTTAGGTTTTATTCGTTCTTTTCTCATTTCCTTTGAAAATAATAAAGTGCGATTGCGCCTTTCACTTTGCAAGTTAAGTCAATCAATGGCTTAATCTCAACTTTTCACCGTTATAATATCCACATCTTACTTTTGTGTTTTTCAATAGCACAACACCCCGACTTCAATTTCGAATCTACGAGGACATACTTCTCGTTGATCTGAACACCAAACTGAATACTCTCCTGCAATATCCAAACAAATCAGAGAGTTGTCAAGCTCGAGTACCGTTCACCCTCAGTAGACAACGAAGGGAGGATACAATTCACATTGCTTGAATTGAAGATAAATGATTATTTGAATGTGATGTGGAGTACCTTTTATTGTTACTCAACAAAAAGTTTGATTGAAGTGGATGCGACGATTCAAAGATCAGTCGACAATGTTATAAGAATGTTACAACATTCTGAACCACTTGTTTTTAATAACAAGTAACATTAAATTTAGTTATATTTATTTTAGAGTTACTTTAAATTGGTTCAATTTCATTTTGCCTTTGTTGTTTCGACTTGTTTCTACTTTGATCTAATAGAATATACTTCGGAGATGCATCTCCAAAAAGTTTACTGAGTAATGAATTAAGGAATATTTTGAAGATGCTTCTTCGAATCAATTTTTTTTTCAGAATAAGAGATTTTCACCATTTTTACTTCAGTTGTGTGTGAAAAAATACATTCAGAAATAAATCTCCGAAAATAAAACAATTTCATTTTTTTCCAGTGGTGTGAAAGAAGCCATAAGAAAGAACATTTCCCAAATCTTCAAGATAAAAATGTATATGGTCTTCTCAGTCAAGTAGGTTATCAAGCGATAGAAAACTAGAAACCTTATGAAAAAAATTCCTCATAAATACCAACTAATGAAAAGAAGAGTCCTTTACCCTTTTGATGCGCCTTAGGTGTACAACCCACAGCCACACTTTCAAATGATTATTTTTAATTTTATCTTTGTTCTATAAAGGATTATTTACGATACTCTGCACGTTGCGTCAAGTATTGTGTTATTTCTCTGAGACAATTTCTTGTCAAGTATTGGACGAAAGAAGTTTCTGGCACCTTATACAACATATACATCTCCACCCAAACACCTTTGAAATGAAAGATTTATAATTCATTTCATTTTACTTATATTTCAACAAACAAAAAATTTATTATGCTACATTCCACTCTATTTTATAGGTTTAAAAATAACCAAAGAAAGTCCAAATGATTTCTACTTGAAAATATTCAATTTAAAATAAGATCATAAACTCTTCCAAATTATCACACCATTCTGTGTCAATACTTTAATTTAAAGCAAGAGAATAAAATGGTCTACATAAAAGCATATAAACATCAACTTGATTCTAAATACTTAAATTAAACCACATCAATGTATTCATAGTTTAATTGATGTTAAAACGTACTAGTACACACTAGAAAGTTTGCCTTCTAGAAATGTGCAAGAGTGTCCAACACTGATTTGGTCAATAATGGAATCACAAAGTACTTACTTGACAGTGAAACTTAAATTACAAATACTTTCAAACAAATAAAGTTCAAAAGCGGAAATAAAACCAAAAAGTAGGGGTGGGAGGGTAAACATCACCATTACACTTACCACCAAAGGTGACTAATTTGCGTCTAATATGGCGGGCAAAATCTCATCAGAGGAGCTCAGCGACATTTGATGGCAGCTCCTCAACTAACACATTGTAAAACTTCTGGATATCTTGCAGCATTGATTCATCTTCCTTATTGACAAAGTTAATGGCAACACCTTTTCTACCAAACCTTCCACTACGACCAATACGATGGAGATAGTTCTCAGGCTGCGTAGGAAGATCAAAATTGATAACCAGAGACACTTGTTGGACATCAATACCACGTGCCAAAAGATCAGTAGTTATCAAAACACGAGAAGATCCAGAACGGAATTCACGCATAATAATGTCCCTGGTGTTCTGATCCATGTCTCCGTGAGTAGCTGAGACTGTATGGTCTCGGCTTCGCATCTTGTCGGTCAACCAATCAACTTTCCTTCTAGTGTTAACAAAAATGACACTCTGAGTGATTGCTAATGTCTCGTAAAGATCACAGAGTGTGTCCAGCTTCCATTCCTCTTTCTCAACATTGACATAAAACTGCTTAATACCCTCCAAGGTGAGCTCATCACGCTTCACAAGGATCCTCACAGGTTTGTTCATAAACTTCCTTGTGATTTCAAGTGCCTCGGGAGGCATTGTAGCAGAGAAAACTCCTACTTGAATCTTACCGGGCAGCAGCTGAAAGATATCATAGATCTGATAACAATAAAACCAAGGAGGTTAGTGTAGTTGTACATAGGCCAAACCCTATAAGAATAGGGACTACAGCCACAATAAGGGACTACAAGTAGTATTGCGAAATAAATAGTACCTGATCTTTGAAACCTCGAGAGAGCATTTCATCAGCCTCATCCAACACAAACATCTTGATGTAATCCGGGTGAAGAGATTGTCTGCGCAGCATATCAAACACACGACCGGGAGTACCAACCACAACATGGACACCACTTGATAGAATGCGTTGATCTTCACGAACACTTGTACCTCCCACACAAGCATGCACCTTAACACCTAGATAGTCTCCAAGTGCCCGCATAACCTTCTCAATCTGCTGAGCAAGCTCGCGTGTTGGGGCTAAAACCAAGGCCTGGCACTGAGTCACATTGTAGTCAAGTTGCTGCAGAACACCAGAGCAGAAAGTTGCCGTCTTTCCAGTTCCAGACTGAGCCTGTTGAATAACATCATGTCCCTTGCAGAAAGGAACAATTCCCCTTTGCTGAATGGCAGATGGCTTTTCAAAACCTAAAGCAGAAGTCATACTAGTTAAAAAATTTCAATCGACCAAACACAGTAGCAATGGCAACAGAATGACAGTAGTAGCAAAGACAATAGTATTAACACAGGATGATTTGATAAACAATAAAATGGTGTGGAATAGCAGCTAAAGCGGTAGTATATCAGTGCATAATTTGAACAAATCGCTATAACTATGTGGCGGTGTTTAGTACAGAGAGCGGTTAAATATCGGCTGTTGTATAACATTGTAGCATGACAGATTTGGGCAAACGGCTATTTTCAGTGATCCCATATTGACAACATGTGTAGTGCTAGGCTGCCGCTAAACATTTTGAATTATTAACAGTTCCAAGGTAGAAGAATAAATCCCAACCAACAGGAACAGTAGGGATTAATAATATTACTGGCAATAAAAACAGAACAAAAAAATATAGTAAAAAGAACATTAAGTTTACCGTAAGCATAAATGCCCCTGAGGAGATTCTCTTGCAAGCCCATACCATCAAAACTTTCACAAACCTCGTCAGAAATAGTGTAGAACTCATTTGCATCACCAGCCATCCTGGAAGAAAAAATTATAGAAAAACAAAACATACACTTATTAGTACATTGAGATGAAATCAAACCCAATTTAAGCATCCCATTCTCCACGTATATTCTAAGAGAGTGCAATCTCAGCAATAACAAACCCGTAATGCTCACACTAAAACTAACTAACTAACAAGTATTCAAAAAAAAACTGAAGGTTCTTACAAGTCATTCATTCTAGCATCAAATTTCCCAGCATCAAATTGTGACCCCTCGGGTGCAAGTCCTGCCATAGCTGCAAAACAAACAGTAACAATTACAGTATATCAACAAAATCAGCACAAACAAAACTAACCTAACCTAAAAGTTAATATACTTTATCCAAAACAGAAAATTGAGATTTCCAACACTAAAAAGCCTTTAAAAAGATTAATTTACCGAATAAAACGCAATAATAAAAGAGAGAGCACCTTGATGATTCGGAGGTGAAGAAAAAGTGGTGATGTTTGTTGAACGGAGTTAGGGTTTCCCAAAATCTCCCCGGATCTACGCCGCGGAGTTGAGGGAGAGTAAATTGAAAAACAGGGTAAGGTAAGTAAGGGTTCTAAGAGTGTGATTACTAATTTACCCCTTTATACTCAGTCAACGCTAATTGGTCAAATTTCCCGGATCACTTGATATATTCGGTGTCTTTTCTCTTTCCCTGTTCGGATCCAAAAACAGTTTAACTCCTCTTACCCTTTTAAAACTCCAATGATATCATCAGAGCCGGCCCAACACTCTACTAGGCTTAAAGTAAATTTTAAATTGAAGTCTTTTATATTTTAATAAAAAAAATTAAATTAAATTATTATAATATCTATTTAAAATTTACTCTTCGAGCTTTTTGAGATGCAAAATTATTTATTAAACTATTGTAATCAATTTCATTTAACATTTCTTTTTCAATCGATAATAAAACCAATTCATTTAATCTATGTTGAGACATTGTTGACCTTAGATAAGATTTTATTAATTTTAATTTTGAAAAACTTCTTTATGCCGAAGCAACAGTTACAGGAATCGTTAACATTATTCTATAAGCAATAAATGCATTTGAAAAAAAGTTGAGTCTTATTATATAGTTAAGTATATCAATTGGCGTATCATTCTCAACATGTATGATTTCTCTTAATATTTTCAATTCTAAAAATAAGTCTAATCCATCAATATCAGAGTTATCGTTATGTTTTAACGAACATTCGAGGTTAAGACAATATTCTTTTAAATTTTCAATTTCCAATGACCTTAATATCTCTATACTAAATCGAAAACCAAAAATATTTTGATATATTTTAAATTGTTCAAATCTACTTCGAAATGATGTAATTGCATGATCTAATATGTACAAAAAATAGTCAAATTTAAATGATTCTTCAAGAGTTTTTAAAACTTCATTGTCAATAATCTCATCAAATTGTCTCTTTCTACGAATAATACGTTTTTCATGAAACTTAGGTTCTATATCCATTTCGGTAGCAATTTCTTTAGCCGAAATTATGGCATTTTCAAAACCATATTCCCTGTATTTTTCGAAAAAAGAAATAAGTCATTTCAATTGCTCTATAGCAACATCAATGCTCATATCATTTGATTGAAAGTGTTTACTAACTGAGTTTACAGCGAACAATATTTCATACCAATTAGTCATGCCTAGCAAAAATTCAAAATTTTCAAGCTCATAAGTTGCCAAACATTCAGCTTCACTTTTTATTTTAGGTTCATCATTCATTTCACCTAATTTAAATAAAGCATCTCTTATTTGTGAAGTTTGGAATCTTATAGCTTTTTACACTTTCAATACGACTTTCCCAACGTGTCTGTGACAATGACTTCAAAGTAAGGTTAGGGATATGGTATAGTAAAATTTTCCATCTTTTAGTAGAAGAAGAAAATATTGTATAAATACATTGCACCACTCCAAAAAATGATGTAGCTTTGGAACAACAATTTGCCATATCACAAAGTATCAAGTTTAGACTATGACAACCACATGGTGTATAAAATGATCTAGGATTAAAATCTAAAAATCTTTTTTGAACACCTTGATGTTTTCCTTTTATATTAGAACCATTATCATAACCTTGTCCTCTTAAGTTAATAATATCAAGACCAAGTATATTTAGTTCATTCATAATAGTATCAAAAAGACCTTTTCCAGTTGTATCATCTACTACTAAAAATTCTAAAAAATACTCAACTACTTGTATCGGAGTTGAAGAAAAATCTACACATTGTAATACAATAGACATTTGTTCTTGATGACTTATATCAGGAGTACAATCAAGTATGATTGAAAATATTTTGATTCCACAACTTTTTTTATAATCTTTTTTTAATTTCATTTGCTAGCAAATCTATTAATTCATTTTGTATTCTATGTCCAAGATAATGGTTATGAATTTCATCATTTTTTATTCGACGAATGTGCTCTTGCATTAGAGGATCAAATTCCGCAATCATTTCAATTAGACATAAAAAAATTTCCATTATTTTCTTGATAAATCTTTTCGTTTGTTCCACGAAATGCTAAGTTATTTTTCCAAGAGTTTTAACAACTGCAATGATTCTAAGTAATAAATTTCTCCAGTGCTCTCTTTCTCTATTAATTCTTTCTTGAACATTCTTGTCAATTGTTTTATGTTTTAATAATCTCATTTCTAAATCAATCCATGAACTCATATTAACAATATGCTCATTACTCATCTCATGACTCTTCAACTTAGCACTAATATTTCTCCAATCATTACTATCTTCATGTGCTAATTTACTTGTACTATGAAGAGCATTAAATAATTTACAACAAAAGCAAAACACTTTATCTAATTTTTGAGAATAAACCAACCATCTTCTTTCACGCTTCTCTCTGTTGGATAATTGTTGAATGTAAAGTGATGAAGAAAAGTGTCTTGCATATGCATCCTTAGGAAAATCTATATCGATAACTTTAATAGGATCATTTTCTACTAATAAATCTCTCAAATTTGTGTCAATAGTTGTCCGTTGACTTGGGTCATATATATTTTTATGAGATGATTTTTCTAATACTTTTTCTCTATCTTCATTGTTAGTGTCAGGATCAATATTATCTTGCCTATTAACCGATACTATAATTTCATTATCACTCGCTATTCCTTCTCTATTTTCATTAGCATATATATTGTTAACTTGTTCAACAACTACCTCTTCTCGATTTTCATTTTCATCATGGTTTACATTATTAACTTGTTCATTCAGCGAACAATCACTATTATTTTCGATTTCACTTTTTTTGTTTGTCTTAACAAATTTGTCTAAAGCCCCTTTTTGTGATTCAATCAAAGCTTCAACTCTTTTCTTTTTCTTGAGTTTCGAATAGCCCAATTCATATTTCCGAGTCGACATTTATATATTTTAAAATAAATGAACAATTCAATCAAATCTTGAAAGTAAATAAATAAAATAAACAATTAAAATAAAACTCTAAATAAGACTAAAATAAACAAACAGAATAAAATAACTGAAATAAAATTAACAAACTAAAATAAAACTAAAGAAATAAAAGAGAATAAAAAATATAAAATAAACAAAACAAGTAGTAACAAAGAAAATAGAACTTGTTTGTCGACAAAAACAGAATAGAAGAAAGAACCGCTTATTTGCCGTCAATCAAAAAAATAAACCGATGATTGATTGAAGATAGAGAATTAGAAAGAACTCAATAAACTAGAATAGGAGAAAATGGTGTTTGCCTCTGTAGAAAATATTCAATTGCAGTTTGAGTGTTTGATATTGAAAGAAGAAGAAGAATCAGTTATTATTGGAACAATGAGATTTGTGAAAATATTAAATCAATTAATACTAATTATTTTAGAACGTTAGGATTGAAAGAGAAAGAGTCAAAAAAAAGTACAAAATTGAAAAAGTAATGACAACTTTACGTGTCTGACTGGTAAACAAATTTATTAAAATTATTAAGTTAATTTAAATTAATTAATTGAGACTTATTTTTAGGCCTTAATATCTTTGATTCTAAAAATATATTTAGGGGCCTAAAGCCCTATCTTTACCAGCTTGGCCCAATGGCCGGCTCTGGATATCAATATATTGTCTATCTATAAAAATCTATGTAATTGGAAATTCAAATATTATCCTTCTAATCTCAAATTAAATCTATAATATAAGGAAATTTATTCTATTTATTCTGCCAATTTTGTCTTTTTGTTCCAAAAATACTCCACGTGGCTACTTTCTTTGGTCTCTATTTTAGATTTTCAGATTCTCCTAAACACTACTACATTTGTATTCTGTGCCTCTCCAGTAACCCCTATTCATTGCCAATTTTGTAACTGCTATTCATAACTCATCATGGCTATTATTATGTAACCGTCTCCAAAACACCCTCATGGCTACCATTCTTTATAACCTTTCATCTTCTAAATTTCTATTGCAGCATCATATTCCTCTAACCCTACCGTTTTCGCATCCTGATTTGTGTTGATTTAGTGTTTGTTATTTCAGTTTGGGTAAAAAAAACTGAATCGCGGAAGGGGGGAAGATGCACGGTAGACTGAATCGATTTCATCTCTTTGGTGGTTGACAAAAGTGTGAGTAATTTCTCTTTGTTCTATTTATTTGTTATATGGTATTTGTTCAAAATATATTTTGAGATGGTGGTTTACGGTTTTTTTTCAAAATTTTGTTTCGGCGTACAAACCCTAAATGTATATAGATTTTGGCTATGTCTCGACTGGTACACCACTATACAAGTCATTTGTACAGATATTGTAATTTTCCTGGGTCGACAAACCGTTGTAGTCTCAAATATTCGATTATATTTATGTAGGATCTTATAGTTCGTACCTCTATAACACTCGAGGTCGAAAAGGGCGAGGAGTGGATGCACCGCATGTAACACCTGATGCCTAAGAGGGTAAATGTGGTCGCCACATCGGAATGAGAGGGATCCCAAGGCTATGCAGGTATGAGACTGCATGGTTGAAGGAAGACTTATAAGGATTAATTGGTACTACCTATACCAACAAAATGCATCTTCTTTTCGGTAGCTCGTTCCATAAGAACTCCACAATTAAACGTGCTTGACTTGGGGTAGTATTGGGATGGGTAACCTTCTGGGAAGTTTCTCGAAAAGCGTATGAATGAGGCCAAAGCATACTGAAAAGACTCGTATTAGTTTGTGGGGTCAGTTGGTAATCCCGAAGGCAGTCTTGGGCGTTACAAATGGTATCAGAGTTATACCTCTCCCAGTACGATG